AAGATGGTGGATATTACAGTTAAAAGTAAAAGAAATGCATTTGGTTACTGTTGTCCAATTTAGATAAAATTAAGGCAGAAAGATGATGAAGAGCTCATTTATGAGTGTCTCATGAAAGGTAGGCAAGGGTAAGGAGTGTTAGCCAGCTATGGAAAGCTTCTTTCAAGGAGGTTATGTGAAGCTTCCTGCACATTCAGCAATCAAACAGAAGGCTGAGAAATTTGATCATATCTTATTCAGGGATACATGAACCATACAGGCATAATATGGTACCAGAGACAACAGGGCGTCTTGTAAAGGTAATCTGATGCATTTTAGTAGTAGAAAATTTAAACCAATGAGAAGTGGTCCAGTAGGAAACACTGGAGAGAAGCTGCTACTAGGTGACAGCACCTGCACCAGCTGTTGCAAAACCATAGACATAAAGTCATGACTAAATATCGGATGGAAGAACAGAGGCAAGGTCATTAATTTACCTGGAGTTTACCTGGAGAGAGTTCCAGGGGTCAATGCCCCTGCAGCCCGGTCTGTGACCAGGCCTCCTGGTGGATCAGAGCCTAATCAACCAGGCTGTTACTGCTGGCTGCACGCAAACCAACGTACGAGCCACAGCCCGACTGGTCAGGAACTGACTTTAGGTGCTTGTCCAGTACCAGCTTGAAGACTGCCAGGGGTCTGTTGGTAATCCCCCTTATGTATGCTGGGAGGCAGTTGAACAGTCTCGGGCCCCTGACACTTATTGTATGGTCTCTTAACGTGCTAGTGACACCCCTGCTTTTCATTGGGGGGATGTTGCATCGTCTGCCAAGTCTTTTGCTTTTGTAGTGAGTGATTTTCGTGTGCAAGTTCGGTACTAGTCTCTCTAGGATTTTCCAGGTGTATATAATCATGTCTCTCCCGCCTGCGTTCCAGGGAATACAGGTTCAGGAACCTCAAGCGCTCCCAGTAATTGAGGTGTTTTATCTCCGTTATGCGCGCCGTGAAGGTTCTCTGTACATTTTCTAGGTCAGCAATTTCACCTGCCTTGAAAGGTGCTGTTAGTGTGCAGCAATATTCCAGCCTAGATAGAACAAGTGACCTGAAGAGTGTCATCATGCGCTTGGCATCCCTAGTTTTGAAGGTTCGCATTATCCATCCTGTCATTTTACTAGCAGATGCGATTGATACAATGTTATGGTCCTTGAAGGTGAGATCCTCTGACATGATCACTCCCAGGTCTTTGACGTTGGTGTTTCGCTCTATTTTGTGGCCAGAATTTGTTTTGTACTCTGATGACGATTTAATTTCCTCGTGTTTACCATATCTGAGTAATTGAAATTTCTCATCGTTGAACTTCATGTTGTTTTCTGCAGCCCACTGAAAGATTTGGTTGATGTCTGCCTGGAGCCTTACAGTGTCTGCAATGGAAGACACTGTCATGCAGATTCGGGTGTCATCTGCAAAGGAAGACACGGTGCTGTGGCTGACATCCTTGTCTATGTCAGATATGAGGATGAGGAACAAGATGGGGGTGAGTACTGTGCCTTGTGGAACAGAGCTTTTCACCGTAGCTGCCTCGGACTTTACTCTGTTGACTACTATTACTCTCTGTGTTCTGTTAGTGAGGAAATTATAGATCCATCGACCAACTTTTCCTGTTATTCCTTTAGCACGCATTTTGTGAGCTATTACGCCATGGTCACACTTGTCGAAGGCTTTTGCAAAGTCTGTATATATTGCATCTGCATTCTTTTTGTCTTCTAGTGCATCTAGGACCTTGTCGTAGTGATCCAATAGTTGAGACAGACAGGAGCGACCTGTTCTAAACCCATGTTGCCCTGGGTTGTGTAATTGATGGGTTTCTAGATGGGTGGTGATCTTGCTTCTTAGGACCCTTTCAAAGATTTTTATGATATGGGATGTTAGTGCTATCGGTCTGTAGTTCTTTGCTATTGCTTTACTGCCCCCTTTGTGGAGTGGGGCTATGTCTGTTGTTTTTAGTAACTGTGGGACGATCCCTGTGTCCATGCTCCCTCTCCATAGGATGGTAAAAGCTCGTGATAGGGGCTTCTTGCAGTTCTTGATGAACACGGAGTTCCATGAGTCTGGCCCTGGGGCAGAGTGCATGGACATGTCATTTATTGCCTGTTAGAAGTCATTTGGCATCAGGATAACATCAGATAGGCTTGTGTTAACCAAATTCTGTGGCTCTCTCATAAAAAATTCATTTTGATCTTCGACTCTCAGTCTGGTTAGCAGCTTGCTAAAAACTGAGTCATATTGGGACTTGAGTAGCTCACTCATTTCCTTGCTGTCATCTGTGTAGGACCCATCTTGTTTAAGTAGGGGCCCAATACTGGACGTTGTTCTCGACTTTGATTTGGCATAGAAGAAATACTTTGGGTTTCTTTCGATTTCATTTATGGCTTTTAGTTCTTCCCGCGATTCCTGACTCCTATAAGATTCTTTCAGCTTAAGTTCGATGCTTGCTATTTCTCTGACCAGTGACTCCCTACGCATTTCAGATATATTGACCTCTTTTAGCCGCTCTGTTATTCTTTTCCGTCGCCTGTAAAGGGAGCGACTGTCTCTTTCTATTTTACATCTACTCCTCCTTTTTCTTAGAGGAATAAACCTTGTTCATACATCGAGTGCCACCGAGATAATCTGTTCTAGGCATAAGTTGGGGTCTGTGTTGCTTAGTATATCTTCCCAGCTTATATCGGTTAGGACTTGGTTTACTTGGTCCCACTTTATGTTTTTGTTATTGAAGTTGAATTTGGTGAATGCTCCCTCGTGACTAATCTCATTATGTCGGTCTGGGGCATAATGGGTGGTGCTAAGAATACAAACCTGAGGGACACCTTCAGCCTACACAAAGTAGGGAAAAACATGTGGTTGACCTGGACACAGAAGTGTGTCTCAACATGAAACTCTTGAGGACAAGCGGCAGACTGCCCCAAAGGCCCAAGGAATGAGCCTGGGTGAAGATGTTGTAATGTCAGGTAGTGTCATATGCTTTTTCAAGATAAAAAAAAAAACTAACCAAGTGTTCATTAGCAAACTCTATGGTCCAATACCCGGCCACGTGGAACATTAGGTGTGTTTCCTTAATGCTCCTTACACCTGCTGTGCCTGTTCACCTAGCAAGCAAATAGGTACCTGGGTGTTAGTCGACTGGTGTGAGTTGCATCCTGGGGGACAAGACTGAAGGACCCCAATGGAAATAAGACAGGCAGTCCTCGATGAAACATTTACATTCTTGGGTTATCCTGGCTGGCTAACCCTCTGGGGTTAAGAATACAAACAAAATCTTATCTTAACATAAGTCTCTAAGGAGAATATGGGGTTAATAGTGGATAGGCCCTTATGAAAGCCAAACTCGTGAGAGGAGAGAATGAAGAGTTTAAAAATACCCCACCAAATGTTTCTAATAACTTACAAATTACACTAGTAAGAACATTGGATCTATAGTGAGTGGCAGTAACAAGGGTCAGCATCATCAGTTAAAGGTTGCAGTCACTTGAATGGGAGTCTTAAGCTGATCTGTTCTTTGAAGTATGAACCATCCAAAAATTGATGCACCACCCAAGAATTGATGAATGTCAATGATGAGCAAGGTAACATTTATGAAGGGATTCAGGGAAACCGGCAGGCCGGACTTGAGTCCTGGAGATGGGAAGTACGGTGCCTGCACTCTGAAGGAGGGGTGTTAATGTTGCAGTTTAAAAACTGTAGTGTAAGGCACCCTTCTGGCAAGACAGTGATGGAGTGAATGATGGTGAAAGTTTTTCTTTTTCGGGCCACCCTGCCTTGGTGGGAATCGGCCAGTGTGATAATAAAAAATAACAATGATGGAGTTTTTTCATTTTCTTGTTTTAAAAAGAAAAGCAGAGGGGAATGGAGGCAGTTCTGAGGAGAAACATAAAACAAACAGTACATACATCCCTCTCTACATCCGAGGTCCCTCGGTACAGTAGGTAGTATTGATGCTATGTGGAATCTGTGCCGTACCCTTCATGTTAGTAAACCAGCAATCCAGGATAACAACCTCACATCCACTGAGCCACCTTGGCAGACAAAAAAAGGGCAACCGGAAACCTGCCAAGGGGCATACTCCCACTTCAGTCATCACTTCCTGGAACTGACAAGAAGGCCTCCAAAGATATACCTGTCATCTTGAGGACACCCAAAGCCAACCTCCAGAACTCTGGAGGGTAGCTCAGCACATCCCTTGATGATGCAGATTCCATAACAAATGCCACCACCACTAAGGACCTCAATGGAATGACTCAGACAATGGTTCCCTTTCTCCCAACCTAAGAGCTGTAATTTGCAAGGGGAAATTCCCAAAGGCTGAATGGGTAGGAAAGAAGGGGATGGGAGAGGATAGAAGACAGATGGAGGAGAGGGAAGGGAAGAGAGTTTTGGGGATGGGAGGGGTAGGGGCAATTAGATTTTGGTTAGGGGAGACAAAAAAAGGTCCAAATCCTTAGTTCAAGAGCTTCTTCACCACATCAAACTACTCCCCTTGAAGAGGACCATATATTTAAATATACTAATATTAATTGCAATGATTCTTCATCAACTATTAATGCTCACATCTCCAAATGACAATTATGACACACTCGTGTCAGGAGCAAATACAGGTTTGATAGAATTGTAGACAGTATAATCAGTCTATACATTCTGTGAATTGCCTCTCACATTGATCTTCAAATGAATGACAGAAGTGATGAATTGCCAAAGGCATATATATGCCTTCAAGGAGGAATTAAAACTTGGACCTTCCATTAGAAGCTCTAAGACAATAATACAAAAGGAACTTCAAATGAACTTCACTGACTTGGGACTGAGGGAGATTAACTGGTATCATACAAGAAGACTGGCGTACATGGTGCACCCAACAAAATCAGCAGCTTCCGGCCCAGCTCTGGTTGGAATACAGGTGCATCTTGGAGTTTGCACCACCAGCTGTTGTAAACATCATAATTATATGTAATCTTTGCCAGAGGAACTATTGTCACACTCTGCACCATCAAGAGTTAGAATGAAAAAAAAAATCAAGACAACTTCTTCACAATGTTCAAGAAATGTCTAAAATTTTATCCACTGTGGCATATTACAAACCATTCTAGAAAAATACCTTTACTATTATAAATCATAACCATTTAAATCTGACTAAATTTAACCATATCTTGCTAAAAAAAAATGGGTATTATAAATAACTCAAAATACATACAAGCTATTTTCTAATATTTTTGTTACCAAATTCACATCTGTATAAACAAATCATCGTGACTGTCTCCAGATCACAAGTTTTTAAATATTACCGCTGTAACTTGCCCAGCCCCTAGACCCATTGTGTGCCTCTAATCTTTTGACTGCCACCCACAGGATGGGTATGGGGTGCATAATAAAGCTATTTAAGCTATCATTCAAGAGTAGCCACATGTCTATAACACATTCAACAGTCAGCAAATTCTTGGATGTCCTGTAGCTCAGTTAGTAGCGCACTCAGCTCACACAATGAGGTCCGTGGTTCAATCCCCAGTACAGGGATCGAACCACAGGTGTGTTTCCTTAAGACACCTGCTATCCCTGTTCACCTAGCAGTAAGTAGGTACCTGGGTGTTAGTTGATTGGTGTAGGTTGCATCCAGGAGACAAAATTAACTTTTGTTTGAAATGCTCTGTATAACCAGGGACTTTCTATATAGTATGTTACTGATATCAGCTATGTCTGTATAAGTTGCATCAAGTACTTGTAGAAATAAAGATTATTATTACTTCTGACCAGTTTTGGCTGGATCACAGGTAGGTTTTTGGGAATCTGCCCAACTAGCTGATGTGGACATGAATGAATGCAAATATAGCCACAGGAACTATTATCACACTCTGAGTCATTATACGCTGCAATGTGGAAAAAATAAATTATAAATTCAGAGAAAATTCTCACAAACATTCAAGAACCATCAAAGTATTTTATCCAGAATAGGATATGTATTACTAATCATTTTGGAGAAATACCCTGTCTTTTCCTATTGTAATTAACTCGTGATTATTTATTTATTTATTATGTTTTGTATGACTGAATTGTGAGCATAAAAAAAGTACAGTAGTCCATTACTATGGTAGCTTAGGTATCAGTTCTCTCATCTTCCTTGAATTCCTAAATTTCTTATGACCACTTAAAGAACATATACATAAGCAATCAATTAGTTATTGTGTTATTAGTCTTAAGTTAGTTTTAAGTTTGCCCAATATGGTGTACATATTAAATAGGGGCTTCCTGCATGTACACCTAAATATCACCCATCTCTGTACAAACATTGTATCATGCTGAAGTAAATAATCTGAAATTGAAATTGAACTGAAGCCCCATTCCCCGGACCCATTAGGTGCATCTGTAATGTTTTGATTATGGGGCACAAAATGGGCATGCAGTGCATAACAGAGCAATTAAACTAATATCAAGGGATATCAGCCTTTAAAATTTTTCACAGGCAAAAGCAGACTTTTGTATATCAAATGTAAAATCAAGCAGGCAAAAGAGAACAAGCAGAGCATGGTACAGTTTTTAAATTAGAAAACCAATAAATAAAAATATATCATTTAAAATTTTCAACAGTCACAGTTAAATACTGTATGTGCCTTTTTCTTTTAAATTAATTGTTTTATCATTTGTTTTATAACATAATTTAGTCATACAATTATTAAAAAATAAATTAAAAATAGATACTAATAGTAAGTGTATTATACAGCAAAAGAAATAATTTTTTAAATAAAATACTTAACAAGAAGAAGTTGAATACAGGTGTTGGGTCACTGTGAGACACCTGTGGGATACATCTGACTGATATCATGGATTAGGAGTCATTTTGTCTAGATGCTGCATAAGACACTAACAAGCATCTTATGCTGGTTATCCAGATAAGGCATAAGAGGCCAACAACACTGTATACCTTGTCTGTAGTAAACTATGTTATCATAACGCTCTCAAGCACAGACTCGCACACTTTATTCAACTATCATTTCATGTCAAGAAAGCTTCCTTAGCTGGGGTGGTTTCTAGAGTAAAGTTTGTCTTCAAAGTATTACTATAAAAATACTAGACTCACAAATAAGGTAGACATATATTGTTTTCAGTCAGTGGTAGTAATCATGAAGAGTTAGTTGACAAAATTTTTGACCATATCCCTCTACTGGAAACTTGTTAATTACACTTGCTAAAGCTCTAGTTCAATTAAAAGAAGTAAATGGCTTCACAAGTGTAAAAACACGTTTTATTACAACTGATTTTTGCAAAAACTAATAGACAATCTTTGTTGTGTTTTAGTTTTTCAAAAAAATAAATTGTTAGACATTGAACATTAAAAAAGTTTCTCTTCTGTATGAACCCTCAGGTGGATTATTAAACTTAAGTTTTTCTGAAAATACTTCTACATACTTTTAACAATATTATAGTTTCTCTCTAGCATGAACTCTTATGTGTTTTATTAGTTTTGATTTTACTCTAAAGGCTTTTAGACACTCTGAACACTGATGTGGTTTCTCTCCTGTGTGAACTCGGAAATGTATGTTTAATTTATATTTTTCTGTAAAGGATTTTAGACACTCTGAACACTGATATGATTTCTCTTTTGTATGAACTCTCAGGTGTCTTGTTAGAGCTGACTGTTTGGAAAAGGCCTTTAGACACTCTGAGCACTTGTATGGTTTCTCTCCAGTATGAACTCTAATGTGTTCTATTAGATCTTTTTTTTGTGAAAATGCCTTGAGACACTCTGAACACTTAAATGGTTTTTCTCCAGTATGAATTCTTGTATGTTTTATCAGTTCAGATTTTTCTGAAAATGCCTTAAGACATTCTGAACACTTATGTGGTTTCTCTCCAGTATGAACTCTTATGTGTATTTTTAGACCTGACTTTTTTGAAAAGGCCTTTAAACACTCTGAACACTGAAATGGTTTCTCTCCGGTATGAATTCTAAAGTGGGAATTTAGATCAGTTTTTCTCGAAAAGGATTTTATGCACACAGAACACTGATATGGTTTCTCTCCTGTATGAACTCTCAAGTGTCTCGTTAAATCTAATTTTTGTGTAAAGGCCTTCAGGCATCCTGAACACTGGTATGGCTTCTCTCCTGTATGAACTCTCCTATGTTTTATTAGATCTGATTTTTGTGTAAAGGCCTTTATACACTCCAAACACTTATACGGTCTCTCTCCAGTATGAATCCGGATGTGTTTTGATAGACCTGCTTGTTTAGCAAAGGCCTTTAGACACTCTGAGCATTGATATGGTTTCTCTCCTGTATGTACTCGTAAGTGTATGTTTAATTTATATTTTTCTGAAAAGGCTTTAGACACTCTGAGCACTGATAAGGTTTCTCTCCTGTATGAAGTCTCAAGTGTTTTGTTAGGTATGATTTTTGTGTAAAATCCTTCAGACACTCTGAACACTGGTATGCTCTCTCATTAACATGAAGTTTTAAGTGAGTGGTTAGATTTGAATTTTTTGAACATCTTTGATATAGTTTCTTCTCTGTGTGAACACTCATGTTTGATTAATATATATTTATTGAAATGACTAAATTTAACGATGGGCTCTTCAATGCTGCATAATAGAAGAGAAACACCAAAATAGAAAGGCTAAACCAAAATTTCATAATGTTACAAAATCATATTAAGTATGGGTAACAACTGACAGAGAATTAAGGATGAAGACAAGATCACTTAAGCCAGGGAAGCATGTAAGACATTAAAATTTCCAAAGTATGTTTACATAAGATGATAACTTCGATGCTACAGAATTTAACCCTAAACAGCTAATTGAAATAGAAAACAATGTAATATCTGAGGTTAGAATTGCTACTGAATGTAAATAAGAGAAAGGCAAAAAGACAAGATGAGAGAACATGACAGCTCTTAAAAACATGACCTGACAAATTGAGTAATTTCCTCCAGAAAAATTTTTGAGATTTCATTTGGAGGACAAAATGGATGGCATCTGGAAAATATGAATTAGATGGATGTTTAGAAATACAAAAGGGAGGCTTCCTTGCAGACAGTTTACATTATAATTGTATAATGCAGTAGAGGAATGGTGCACGGACCATAAAAAACATGGAAATGAAAAGAAAAAACCTGTGACAAGATATAAAATGGCTTACAGCCAAAAACTGTAACTTATGAAGGCTGAAAACATTAGACATGCTATATTTAGCTGACAGGAAGGAAAAGAAAGACACGAAAACCACAAGAATAAAAAACAATACAAATGATTTGATAAGCAAAATTTCTTACTACCATTCAAAAGGAAGAAAAAGAGGCCACAGCTATAACTAAAACAAGAACTGCTGAAGGATACAATAAAAAAAGGCCACACCTATAACCTAAAGAAGAGCTGCTGAAGAATACAAGAAGAAAAAAGCCCAGCTATAACCTGAAGAAGAGCTGCTGAAGGATATAAGAGCAAAAAGGCCACAGCTATAACCTAAAAAAGAACTAGTGAAAGCAAGAAGAAAAAAGGCCACAGCTATAACGTAAAGAAGAAGAGCTGCTGAAGGATACTAGAAAAAATAATCCTTGTACTGAATGGTAGAAGAGTGGAACAGGTTACATGAGGAAGTAATAAGTGCTAAAACAACTGGAAATTACAAAAAAAAAAAACTAACAACAGATTAAACAGCAAACAGAAGACAACAGGAGCCTTGCCTGATCCTGCATTAATACATTATGTGCTTACAAAGTTTAATTTGGAGGTAAGAAAAGACAAGATAAAAATATAACCACAGCTAATGCAACTGTTGATTAACATGCTATTAGTCACAATCTGCAAAAGTCCACTGGGGAATTTCAATAAATTACACTTTATAAATTTACATATATTACATATTTTATGAAAATTTCAATAATTTTCTTAAGACACATTCAAAAGTATTAGAATAATGTTCATCCTTTATTTATATCATTTATGCTTTTCAAATATATGACTTCTCACATACAAGTTTACAAGTCTTCTACACAAATTTTTTATTTATTTATTTTTGGACACTGAATACTATTAGTTTCTTGCAGACCAAGTCTCTGTTTCACTAGGTCTCACGGTTTACATAAATTCACTTTAACAAAGGCAAGGTACTAGGAAACTAATGTTGTATGTGTCTGCTGTTTAACAAGGTATATATGGGTCTATCTAGTATGGTTAGTCCCAGGAGACCCCCTTGCCAGCCTTAGAACTGAGGTAGTCCATGTCATAGTCCTGAGTCACAGGGATGTTAGGAAGTATTTCTTCAGCCTTAGTGTTGTCAGGAAGTGGAACAATCTGAAGTAGTGGAGGCAGGATCCATACATAGTTTTAAGATGAGGTACAATAAGGCTTATGGAGCAGGAGAGTGACTAGCAGAGAGGCAGGGCCAGAAGCTATGAATCAACCCCTGCAACCACAAACAGGTGAATACAAATTACTACTACAGTACTAGTGCTTTGTTCACATGATGTAGTAGCTGGCAGTGCAAGTGAGAAGTTACTACTACAGTACTAGTGCTGTGTCCACATGATGTAGCAGCAGGGAATTATTAATTAATCAATATTATGAACTGGAAGAGAAAATACTATCACATAAAAGTGAGGTATTAAATAAATTAAAATGGGTAAATACTTTAGTTGACCAGTCTATTAATGTAAATGCCAGGTCTTTGCCCAAACTCCCAGAGTTTGGGCAAAGTCTACAGTATTAGTAAAGGCAGAAAATCATATAAATAATTGTCCCCATCATTTTTGGTTCCTGCCACTAGTATAATCCTGAACTGATCTACGAGCAGGGAACCTTTTGCTGGTTTGGGCAGAGAGTTCCAGATCTTTGGGCCCTTCATGTGGACTGCATTTTTACAAGGTGTGAGACAGACACGAGGGATGTCAAAAAGTGTTTTGTGCCTTGTGTTATGTCTGTGTGTTCTGTTGTAGCAGTCTAGGAGAAGTTTGAGTGGAGGGTTTATATTGGAGTTTAGTGTTCTGTATACAGTGGACCCCCCGCCTTACGATGGCATTGCGTTACGTTAAATCCGCCATACGATACATTTTAATGCAAAAATTTTGCCTCGCCTCACGTGATTCATCCGGGATGCATCCCACACGTGGCCTCAGCTGCCCCGTGCGTGCCAGTGTTTACAAACCAGCCAGTGCAGTTGCATCCACGCATATATTCAGTACATTTCATATTATCACAGTGTTTTTAGTGATCGTAGCTGCAAAATAAGTCACCATGGGCCCCAAGAAAGCTTCTAGTGCCAACCCTGTGGGAAAAAGGGTGAAAATTACTATGGAAATGAAGAAAGAGATAATTGATAAATACGAAAGTGGAGTGCGTGTCTCGGAGCTGGCCAGGTTGTATACCAAACCCCAATCAACCATCGCTACTATCGTGGCCAACAAAACGGCAATCAAGGAAGCTGTTCTTGCAAAAGGTGCAAGTTTGTTTTCGAAACAGAGATCACAAGTGATAGAAGATGTTGAGAGACTTATTGGTGTGGATAAACGAATAACAGATAGCAGGAGGTAGCATCTCTCAAGCGAATCATATGTGAAAAGGCTAGGAAGTTGCACGAGGATTTAATTAGAAAAATGCATGCAACTAGTGGTGATGTGAGTGAATTAAAGGCCACCAAATGTTGGTTTGAGAGATTTAAGAATCATAGTGGCATACATAGTGTGATAAGGCATGGTGAGGCTGCCAGTTCGAACCAAAAAGCGGCTGAAAAATATGTGAAGGGATTCAAGGATTACATAGACAGTGAAGAATTGCAACCTGAACAAGTGTTTAATTGCGACGAAACAGGCCTGTTTTGGAAGAAAATGCCAAGCAGGACCTACATTACTCAGGAGGAAAAGGCACTCCCAGGACATAAGCCTATGAAAGACAGGCTTACTCTTCTGATGTGTGCTAATGCTAGTGATGATTACAAAGTGAAGCCTTTATTGGTGTATCACTCTAAAACTCCCAGAGCATTCAGGCAAAACAATGTTGTCAAGGCTAATTTGTGTGTGATGTGGAGGGCAAACAGTAAGGCATGAGTCACTCGGAACCTTTTCTACGACTGGTTACACCATGCATTTGCCCGCACTGTGGAAAAATTACCTAATGGAAAAGAAATTGGACCTTAAGTGCCTCCTGGTATTAGACAATGCTCCTGGTCATCCTTTGGACTTGGCAGAGCGACTTTCTAGGGACATGAGCTTCATTAAGGTCAAGTTTTTGCCTCCTAATACCACTCCTCTCCTGCAGCCCATGGACCAGCAGATCATTTCAAACTTCAAAAAACTCTACACAAAAGCAGTTTTAAAAGTGCTTTGAAGTGACCTCAGACACTCAACTGACTCTAAGAGAGTTTTGGAAAGATCACTTTAGCATCTTCAGTTGTGTAAACCTTATAGGTAAGGCTTGGGAGGGAGTGACTAAGAGGACCTTGAACTCTGCTTGGAAGAAACTGTGGCCACAATGTGTAGAAGAAAGGGATTTTGAAGTGTTTGGGGCTAACCTTCAGGAGCCGATGCCAGTTGTGGAATCTATTGTGGGGTTGGAGGTTAGTGGGGAGGATGTGGAAGAGTTGGTGGAGGAGGACAATGAAGAACTAACCACTGAAGAGCTGCAAGATCATCTTCAACAGCAAGAGGCCAGACCTGAGGAAACTGCTTCAGAGGAGGGGAAAGAAAAATTGAGGAAGATGCCTACTTCAAAGATTAAGGAAATGTGTGCAAAGTGGGTTGAACTGCAAACCTTTGCGGATGAAAATCACCCTGACACAGCTACTGTAAGCCGTGCTGGTGACTATTACAATGACACTGTTATGGCCCATTTTAGGGAAGTCTTAAAGGAACGGGAGGTACAGACCTCTATGGACAGATTTGTTGTGCGACAGAGGTCCAGGGACTCTCAAGCTGGTCCTAGTGGCATTAAAAGAAGAAGGGAAGCAACCCCAGAAAAGGACTTGCTACCTCAAGTATTAATGGAAGAGGATTCCCCTTCTAAACAATAACAACTTCCACACTCTCCCCTCCTCCCATCCCATCAATCATCACCAGATCTTCAATAAAGGTAAGTGTCATGTATTCTATTGTGTGTCATGTATTCTATTCTAAGTAGAGTAGTAATTGTGCATGTCTTCTTCAGTTTGTGTATTAAAATTAATATTTCATGTGGTAAAAATTTTTTTTTTTCATACTTTGGGGTGTCTTGCACGGATTAATTTGATTTCCATTATTTCTTATGGGGAAAATTAATTCGCCTTACGATAATTTCGGCTTACAATGAGCTCTCAGGAACGTATTAATATCGTCAGGCGGGGGTCCACTGTATATAGTAGGCACAAAAATAAGGGTGCATATTTTGTATATTAAGTAAGTTCAAGCTCTTGAAGAGTGCTGGGGTGTGTTGTCTGGCGCAGGAGTTTGTGATCATCCACACCACAGCTTTTTGTTGGGTTATTAAAGGTTTAAGGTGATTGGCCATGGTAGATCCCCAAGCACAAATACCATAGGTGAAGTAGGGGTATATTAGAGTGTGATATAAAGTAAGGAGCACCATTTGGGGCACATAGTATTGTATCTTGGAAAGGATACCTACTGTTTTGGAAACTTTCTAAGTTATATGCTGGATGTGGGTCTGAAATTTAAGATTACAGTCAAGTTGGAGACCTAGAAATTTGCCCTCAGTGTGTCTCGTAATGGAGTAAGGTGAATAACACCCAGGTACCTACTTACTGCTAGGCAAACAGGAACAGCAGGTGTAAGGTGAGTTCCACCCAGGTACCTACTTACTGTTAGGTGAACAGGAACAGCGGGTGTAAGGTGACTAACACCCAGGTACATACTTACTGGTAGGTGAACAGTGACGGCAGGTGTAAGGAAACATGCTCAATGTTCCAACTTTGTCAGGACTGATTGTGGACCCTGAGAATGTAAGTTTATTCAGATACAGTACACATAAATACAGTTACATAAATTATCATACACAGCAGCAAATATATAAATTATATAGGATAACTAAAAAAAAGTCAGACTTACTTCCACTGGGATCCTTGTAATATCTTATTATTTAAACCTTGAAAGTTAAAACAGCTATGTAACTCTATGTGAAAAGCTGTTACAATAAAATGAGATATACTAGGAACAAGGTAAACTGAGTTATTTATATTAACATTAAAGATAGGATCAGATCACAATAATACGTATATGTATGTAGCTACATTCATTAGGGACTTTTTGGCTCTCTTCCTGAAGTGGCTTATGCTATAACAGGCTTTGGCATGTGCAGGCAGTCTGTTCCACTCCTTTATTGCTGTACAATAAAATATGTTTGAAGTCTGACCACCTACTGTGGGTACTACAAAGTTGTGTTCCCTTCCTCTAGTATTATAATTGCTTTAGTTCCCAGCCTTGACAAACTTGGCAGCAAGATATTCTGGACACTGAGCAATTTTATAAACGTGATTTAACTTCAGTTGTTTTACTCTGTCTTCAACATTCAGCATATCCATTTGTTGTAATTCATCCTGTCCTGCATGTTCTCTTGGACCCAGGTCCAGGAGGAATCTTACCATTTTGTTCTGTGTGATTTGTAGTCTATCTTTCAGTTTTTTGTTAAGGCAGAGTACCATGAAGAGCAAAAGTAGTCTATATGACAGTGCATAAGAGCTGGACATAGGGTCTAGACATAGGTAGACACTGTGCTTGTCTGTAGAGGAAGTTTAGTCTGTCATTCACTTTTTTTTACTACGCTGTTCCCTATCAATTCTCGGATCAATTCTCGGATCAATTCTTGGATCAAAGGGGATTCCCAGATATTTCACCGAGGATACTGAAGTGATGGGCTCCCCATTCACGGGACATTAAAATTATTTACCCTTTTCAGTGTTTCGTTCCAAAGAGTGTAGCTTCCGTTTTTCCTGAGGTGTAACAATAATTTGTTGTCTACTAACCATCTGCTGCAGGACTCTTAGTTCTAGTGATAGTACATTAGCTATATCTTGTGGGTCTACCTGACACTAACAGAACACTGTCATCTGCATACAACACTTGACGCTGATGGGCATGACATTTATATAACACTGGAACAGTAAGGGACCCAGAATTTTACCTTGGGGAACCCCACATGTTATCTGCAGGGATCCTAATTCTGTGTTGTTGATCTTAACAATTTGTTTCCTGTTGCTCAGGTAGTGTGAGCTAAGACTGTCATCTATGCCACAAACAACCTGGACAAGAGAATCAAAGAACCACAATGGAAATAAGCCACACTACACAGCTTGTCCTGGGTTACACAACGCTCCTGGGTTAATAATAATAAAATTTCGTAATAGAGAAGTGACCATTTGGGACAATGACCCCAATGGAAATTAAGTTACTTTGACTCTTTTGGGTTATCCTGGTGGGAAATTTACACATACGTTGCTATGCATGATAATTTGTGTAACTTTGTGTGTACCTGTACCTAAACAAACTTATTTGCTTAATTACTTGTAATAGAGGTGACCACCACCAGTCAACACAGTCACGTCTAGATATTTATAAATCTCTCTAAATAATCTTTAATATATTCTTAACTTGTATTCTTACAGTCCCAAATACCTCACCTTTGTGTCTTCTTACGTTAATTCTCAAATATTCTTCCAGTAGTAAAGTAAACTTAAAACTAATGCTTATTTTGAGTCCAATATCTGCTTACTTCTAATTACTTTATTGTTGGGGTTATAAGAGCCACTGACAGCTTACGCAGTATCGAGCCCGACTTCCCGATGTTTGGGGAAGATTTGTTGCCCGAAGCTGGACCATGAAAGATAAAGGAACAAAAGTTCCTTTGTAAATAGAAATAGGTGGACCTCCCTTGCCAAGCCCCAGCAGAGCCAGACGCCCACTTCCCCCACCTGAGTGGGGTGTGTGGGTGTCTGAGTGAGTGGGTGTGGGTGTTGAGGTTTATAGGGCCACTGATGATGTACGCCGTATCGAGCCCTGCTTTCCAGTGCTAGGAAAAGAACCCTCGACCAACGTGGAAGGAAGTTAGTAAGTTTATTCAGGTATACACAAATACAGTTACATAGATTATCATACATAGTAGCATATGCGTAGAGAACCTGGGATAACCCAAAAATGTCAGTGATTAATTTCCATTGGGATCATTTGGTTGACTAATAACTGTGCATATTGCATGCCCCCAGTGCACCCAGAGGCCAGCAAGAAGGCGCAGGTACAGGACAGGTTCTCCTGACGGTCTGGAGGGTCAAATACCTCCCCACTGAGGAGAGTAAGGTAAAAGACTGCACCCCAAATATGCACAAGGCAGCACAGAAGACTCCGTGCAGAGTGGTAAAGGGACACCACAGTAGGAAATGTTCCACCGTTTCAGGCTGAGGGACACATTATTATTATTATAATCAAGGGGAAGCGCTAAACCCGGAGGATTATACAGCGCCTGGGGGGGGGGGAAGATGTGGAAGGCATTCAGGCTTAATTCGGGGAACTGGAGCACAGATCCAATTTCCTAAATCAAGAGCCCCTCACCAACATCAAGGAACCTTCCTTGAGGGAAGGCTGAGGGACAACGGGACAATAATCACGGTAATATTTAATGGGGTGGACGGGTAAGCCAACAGAAGACCTTGGTCAGATAACCAAAAGCTCCAGCTGCAGGTCATCATACGACAGACCCGCGTCAGGAGACAATCGTTTCTTGGCAAGATTCGTCAGGAAAAACTAGTTTCCTGAGGAATCTTAAGCTAACGACACGGGCAGGGCGGAGAGTACGTCATCCGAAGGCAGTGCAGATGAACTTCCAGCGGTGAATGCCCAACCCGGAGGTGGGTCAGTGCAATATCCAGCGAGCGATTGGGATGACGAGCCCGTGGGCAGCGACCGTTGAAAGACCGGACTGAGCTAAATGCCGAAGAAGATAGGGACCGTGCCAGTTTCCCTTGCCATATTATTATTATAATCAAGGGGGAAGCGCTAAACCCGGAGGATTATACAGCGCCTGGGGGGGGGGATGTGGAAGGCATTCAGGCTTAATTCGAGGAACTGGAGCACAGATCCAATTCCCTAAATCAGGAGCCCCTCACCAACATCAAGGAACTTTCCTTGAGGGGTTCCCTTGCCATAAACGGCAGATTTCCCTCCAGCCTTTGTGAAATCAATGGGGCTCAGTGCAAGGGATGTAATGGTATGGAGTGTGTGTGCGAGGGAGGCCGCTCGATCACCCACTTCATTGCCCCGAATGCCAACACGAGCTGGTACCCACTGAAGGAAGATGCTCCAACCCGGACTTCCTGCCGGACTAGGAAACCGAGGGACCGTGGACGGGCAGAACAAAGTGCCAGGGATCTTAGCCTCGTCTGCCACTGCAATGTTGTTGATGGTATTGTTAGGTGTAAGGTTGCCCGAGGGGTATACCAGGCACCAGTGTTGCCCGAGTTGTGTACCAACCAGGCACCAGTGTTGCCCGAGTTGTGTACCAACCAGGCACCAGTGTTGCCAGAGGTGTGTACCAACCAGGCACCAGTGTTGCCTGAGGTGTGTACCAACCAGGCACCAGTGTTGCCTGAGGTGTGTACCAACCAGGCACCAGTGTTGCCTGAGGTGTGTACCAACCAGGCACCAGTGTTGCCTGAGGTGTGTACCAACCAGGCATCAGTGTTGCCTGAGGTGTGTACCAACCAGGCACCAGTGTTGCCCGAGGTGTGTACCAACCAGGCACCAGTGTTGCCTGAGGTGTGTACCAACCAGGCACCAGTGTTGCCTGAGGTGTGCACCAACCAGGCACCAGTGTTGCCCTGAGGTGTGTACCAACCAGGCACCAGTGTTGCCTGAGGTGTGTACCAACCAGGCACAGTGTTGCCTGAGGTGTGTACCAAACCAGGCACCAGTGTTGCCTGAGGTGTGTACCCAAACCCGGCACCAGTGTTGCCTGAGGTGTGTACCAACCAGGCACCAGTGTTGCCTGAGGTGTGTACCAACCAGGACCAGTATTGCTCGAGGTGTGTACCAACCAGGCACCAGTGTTGCCTGAGGTGTGTACCAACCAGGCACCAGTGTTGCCTGAGGTGTGTACTAACCAGGCACCAGTGTTGCCTGAGGTGTGTACCAACCAGGCACCAGTGTTGCCTGAGGTGTGCACCAACCAGGCACCAGTGTTGCTCGAGGTGTGTACCAACCAGGCATCTGTGTTGCCCGAGGTGTGCACCAACCAGGTATCAGTGTTGCCCGAGGGGTGTACCTAGGATCAGTGTTGCCTGAAGTGTGTACCAACCTAGCATCAGTGTTGCCTGGGGGGTGTGCCAGGCATCAGTGTTGCTCGAGGTGTGTACCAACCAGGCACCAGTGTTGCCCGAGGTGTGTACCAACCAGGCATCGGTGTTGCCCGAGGTGTGTACCAACCAGGCACCAGTGTTGCCTGAGGTGTGTACCAACCAGGCACCAGTGTTGCCTGAGGTGTGTACCAACCAGGCACCAGTGTTGCCTGAGGTGTGTACCAACCAGGCATCAGTGTTGCCTGAGGTGTACCAACCAGGCATCAGTGTTGCCTGAGGTGTGTACCAACCAGGCACCAGTGTTGCCTGAGGTGTGTACCAACCAGGCACCAGTGTTGCTGAGGTGTGTACCCAACCAGGCACCAGTGTTGCCTGAGGTGTGTACCAACCAGGCACCAGTGTTGCCTGAGGTGTGTACCAACCAGGCACCAGTGTTGCCTGAGGTGTGTACCAACCAGGCACCAGTGTTGCTCGAGGTGTGTACCAACCAGGCACCAGTGTTGCCTGAGGGTTGTACTAACCAGGCACCAGTGTTGCCTGAGGTGTGTAACCAACCAGGCACCAGTGTTGCCTGAGGTGTGCACCAACCAGGCACCAGTGTTGCTCGAGGTGTGTACCAACCAGGCATCTGTGTTGCCCGAGGTGTGCACCAACCAGGTATCAGTGTTGCCCGAGGGGTGTACCTAGGATCAGTGTTGCCTGAAGTGTGTACCAACCTAGCATCAGTGTTGCCTGGGGGGTGTGCCAGGCATCAGTGTTGCTCGAGGTGTGTACCAACCAGGCACCAGTGTTGCCCGAGGTGTGTACCAACCAGGCATCGGTGTTGCCCGAGGTGTGTACCAACCAGGCACCAGTGTTGCCCGAGGTGGTGTACCAACCAGCACCAGTGTTGCCTGAGGTGTGTACCAACCAGGCACCAGTGTTGCTGAGGTGTGTACCAACCAGGCACCAGTGTGTGCCCGAGGTGTGTGTACCAACCAGGCATCAGTGTTGCCTGAGGTGTGTACCAACCCGGCATCAGTGTTGCCTGAGGTGTGGTACCAACCAGGCACCAGGTTGCTGAGGTGTGTACCAACCAGCACCAGTGTTGCCTGAGGTTGTGTACCAACCAGGCACAGTGTTGCCTGAGGTGTGTACCAACCAGGCACCAGTGTTGCCTGAGGTGTGTACCAACCAGGCAACCATGTTGCCTGAGGTGTGTACCAACCAGGCACCAGTGTTGCTCGAGGTGTGTACCAACAGGCACCAGTGTTGCTCGTGGTGTGTACCAACCAGGCACCAGTGTTGCCCGAGGTGTGTACCAACCAGGCACCAGTGTTGCCCGAGGTGTGTACCAACCAGGCACCAGTGTTGCCCGAGGTGTGTACCAACCAGGCACCAGTGTTGCCTGAGGTGTGTACCAACCAGGCACCAGTGTTGCCTGAGGTGTGTACCAACCAGGCACCAGTGGGTTGCCTGAGGTGTGTAACAACCAGGCACCAGTGTTGGGCCGAGGTGTTGTACCAACCAGGCACCAGTGTTGCCCGAGGTGTGTACCAACCAGGCATCAGTGTTGCCTGAGGGGTGTACCTAGGATCAGTGTTGCCTGAAGTGTGTACCAACCTAGCATCAGTGTTGCTCGAGGTGTGTACCAACCAGGCACCAGTGTTGCCTGAGGTGTGTACCAACCAGGCATCGGTGTTGCCCGAGGTGTGTACCAACCAGGCATCAGTGTTGCCTGAGGGGTGTACCTAGCATCAGTGTTGCCTGGGGGGTGTGCCAGCCATCAGTGTTGCCTGAGGGGTGTACCTAGCATCAGTGTTGCCCGGGGGGTGTGCCAGCCATCAGTGTTGCCTGGGGGGGTGTACCAGGTACCAGTGTTACCTGGGACTAGTAATGACCAGACATTCTGTATCTTGTCAAGCATTTAGTTCCTTCTGCTTCCTGATTCTCTAGTTTGTTGTGTGACCGCAGTTCATGGATGAGTGGAACAAACTCCCGAGTACCGTCATAGACGCTAAGACGTTGTGTACTTTTAAAAATGGGTCGGATAAATACATGAATGGGTGTGGGTGGGCGAGTTGGACCTGACTAGCTTGTGCTACTAGGTCGGATGCACTGCTCCTCAAGTGACGTGTCTGACCTCACTAGGTCACGGCATTGGCTTAAGCCGGTGGGGGAATTGGAGCTGCCTCGCATAGGCCAGTTGCAGTGTTCCTTCTTTATGTTCATCCTGCGAGAATAACCAGCATTACAGAAGTCACAATAATATCTATTTCTACAAGTACATGTACAAGGTATACAGACCGTAGCTGACATCAATGACATACTAGTATATAGAAAACCTCTTGTTATGCAGTAAAGCAGATAACTATTATAATCAAAATTAAGCGCTAAACCCACTGGGGTCATACAGCGCTGGCAGTTATGCAAAGCATTTTGGGCAAATTAGGTCAATTTTGTCCCCAGCGCCTTTCAAGGCAGGTGAAATTGCTGACCTAGAAAATGTACAGAGAACCTTCACGGCGTGCATAACGGAGATAAAACACCTCAATTACTGGGAGCGCTTGAGGTTCCTGATTATTATAATCAAAAAAGAAGCGCTAAGCCACAAGGACTATACAGCACTTGAGGTTCCTGAACCTGTATTCCCTGGAACGCAGGCGAGAGAGATACACGATTATATACACTTGGAAAATCCTAGAGTTATTAGTACCAAACTTGCCCACGAAAATCACTCCCTATGAAAGCAAAAGACTTGGCAGACGATGCAACATCCCCCAAATGAAAAGCAGGGGTGTCACTAGCACTATAAGAGAGACAATACAGTAAGTGTCAGGGGCCCAAGACTGTTCAACTGCCTTCCAGCATACATAAGGGGGATTACCAATAGACCCCTGGCAGTCTTCAAGCAGGCACTGGACAAGCACCTAAAGTCAGTACCTGACCAACCGGGCTGTGGTTCGTACGTCGGTTTACGTGTGGCCAACAGTAAGGACCTGGCTGATCAGGCTCTGATCCACCATGAGGCCTGGTCACAGACCGGGCCGCGGGGGCGTTGACCCCCGAAATCCTCTCCAGGTATATTTTAGGATGCGACCCACACCAGTCCACTAACACCCAGGTACCTAGTTTACTGATAGGTGAATATGAACAGCAGATGTCTTAAGGAAACACGTCCTGATGTTTCCACCCGTACCGGGGATCAAACCACTGACCTCAGTATGCGAGCTGAGTGCACTAACAATAGAGCCACGGGACACAAACCATCAGTAACCACTGGTGAGTCATCAGATACCTCTGCGGATAATAACTATTACAGTTACTAGATGTATTAAGGACATTGCACGATCCTAGAGGTTCCCATATTGCATACCTCGTTCACTGCACCTCAGTCCACCGAGTGCAACAAGGCAACATACATTTGTACTTAGTTAAATATCAGCATTGTATATTTGGAGCAAATCAGATTTGCTATTCTTAAGTTATCACCTGGACACTAATATCCGAATTTCCTCATTATGAATAACAAATTAGATAATTCACAGCGCTGAACTAATTCAAACCTGCAAAGGAATTCTCTTATCTCAAAGGAACCATTATCCTAAAATACATCAGCACATTATATCTATTATTATAATCATAACCAAGCGCTAAACCCACAAGGAAAACTGCCTTTACAGACCCGATTATTGGACACCGTGAAAAGAATTAATTATGAAAAGCTTCCCCCAACCATGGCTTATCAGCCCCAATACAGAGAAGAATGACAAAGATCAGCATCCGGGGAATTTTGACAGGGGATTCTAGACTTGCCTAACCTATAGCCATGACCTTTTTATCTGGGGGAATTGTCAAAGGTAACACCGCCTAAGACGCTTGCCTCATTCCTACAGTACATAAGCCACATCTTGCGAAATTTGTTGACTCTTTTTAAGATTGGGGGAGTTTAAAAGACTCCAGGCTGGGGGACTGATTATTCAAACTCCCCCCTGATCTTAACCATTCTTTTGTTTTGGAGAAAACCCACTGCTTACGAAATGTTTCCAAATAAAGATCCCAAAGTGTTCGAAGGAATAGGGAGCATTCCCCCTTTCCTCAATTTTTTTTTTCCCCCACACAGCGGGGGTGTCACAGCACGTTAAGAGACCAACAATAAGTGTCGGGGGCCCCGAATGTTCAACTGCCTCCCAGCACAATAAGGGGGATTTCCCAAACAGACCCTGGCAGTTTCAACGGCACTGGACAAGCCCCAAAGTCATTTCCTGTCAGGGGGCTGTGGTCTTAGTTGGTTTGCGTGCACCCAGCAGAAACAGCCTGGTTGATCAGGCGCTGATCCACCAGGGGGCCGGGACAGCCCCGGGGCCGCGGGGGCTTGACCCCAAAACTTCTCCGGTAAACTCCAGGTAAACACCAGCAGAACGATTTTTTTTTATTAAGGGGAAGATTACAGTCTTTGGAAATAAGCACTTCATTAATGGAGGCAAAGCGGGTGAAAGAAAGAGACTATATGGTATTAAATTTTGGGCTTGGTGGCAAAAGCTCTGCTTCAAAAGCGGGGGCGGGGTTCGTTAAAACCCCGGGGTAAAAAATTTGGGACATGTTTCTTTACACCTGTTGTCGATGTTCCCCATCAGTAAAAGGGGTACTTGGGTGTTAGTGAGGGTGTGGGTCGCACCCTGGGAAACTGATCTAATTTGCGGGAAATGCTCAGCATAAAAAGGGTTTCCTATACAGTTTATGTCACTGATGTAGTTGGTCTGTATCCTTGTAATGTACCGTAGAAAATAAGATGAATTCATGGTTTGGGGCAGGTAGGTACTGTAGCGAGGGGGAAAATTGGGAGTGGGGCAGACGAAGATTTTGTCAGGATTTTTAACCCTGGAGGGTTAGACAACGGGTACCCCAAGATAATCTCTCAAAAGGACTTTTTTTTCCATTGTGGTCCCCCAAATCTGCCCCCCAGGACCACCCCTTAGCCCTAAACCCCAGGTACCTATTGTTGCTGTGGACGGGGCAGCGGTGTCCGGGGAGTATTCCGGAAGATTTCCCGGGGGTCAACGCCCCCGCCCCCGGTCTGTGACCAGGCCCTTCCGGTGGATCAGAGCCTGATCAACCAGGTTGTTGCTGCTGGCTGCACGAAACCGACGTCACCCACCCCGGTTTATCAGGAACCGACTTTAGGTCTTGTCCAGGCCACTTAAAACTGCCAGGGGGTTTTTGGGAATCCCCCTTATTTTTGCTGGGGGGCATTGAACAGTCCGGGCCCCCGAAACTTATTGATGGTCCTTACGTGCTAGTGACACCCCTGCTTTTCATTTCGGGGGTGTGCCCCAAAGTTTCCACCCATGCCAAGAACGAACCCGGACATCAGTGTATAGGCGGGAAAAATTGCTACCCGGCACGTTAGATGATCCTCCCCACTGAGGGCCGGGGGCGATCCCCGGGAGAGTGGAAACATTTAAAAGTTTTCTTTAAAACACCTACTGTCCTGTTCCCTATCAGAAAAAAGGGACCGGGGTTGTGGACGTGGGTTTTGGGGGCATCCTGGCAAAAATTTTTCAATATGCCCGAAATGTTTTATCAGGCTGGAATATGCTGAAATTAACAGCCCTTTCAAGGCAGGTGAAATTTCCCCACCTGAAAATGTACAGAAACTTTCACGGCGCGCATAACGGGATAAAAAACACCTCAATTACTGGGGGCGTTGAGGTTTTTAAATTAATTCCCCGGAACCAGGAGGGGGGGATACAGATTTTACATGGAAATCCTAGAGGGGCTAGTCCGAACTTGACACGAAATCACTCATACAAAAGCAAAAGACTTGCGACTGCACCCTCCCCCCAATGAAAAGAGGGGGTACTAGACGTTTTAAAAACCTACAATTGTGTTGGGGCCCCAGACTGTTCAAATGCCTCCCAGCAACATAAGGGGGATTACCAAAAACCCCCCAGTCTTCAGCTGGCACTGGACAACACCTAAAGTAGTTTTCCTGATCAGCCCGGGGTGTGGCTCGTACGTTGGTTTGCTGCCCAGCAGCAACAGCCTGGTTGATCAGGGGCTGATCCACCCGGAGGCCCGGGCACAGCCGGGCCCGGGGGGGATTGACCCCCCAAAACCCCTCCATAAACTCCAGGTAATAAAAGCGATTTCTAAAAAAGTAATAATTGGGGGCCCCTTGGAAGAGACCCCGCCGGTACAAGCTGGTGAACCCTTTTACATAAGTGTATGTCAATTTTGTAGCATGGTCTGTTTCCCCACATGTACTTGTAGAAATGCCTAGCCCTGCTAGGGGTTCT